ATTACAAATCGAAAAACTCAAGAAACAAACAAAAATAAAAAATCAAATATCAAAAAGTCGAAAATTCGAAGAATTAAAAAATCGAAAATCAGGAAATCGAAAAAATGAAAAATAAAAACATCGAGACTTCAAGCAATCTAGAAATACGAGCATCAAAGAATCAAAAATTCGAAAAATCGAAAAATCAAACATCAAAATTGAGAAATCGAAAAACTAAAAAACTGGAAAATTCAGAATTTGGAAAATCGCAAAACTGACAAATTTAAAAATGAAAAAATGCAAATCCAAAAAATGAAATTGAAGAAAAAAAATTATAAAATCGATAGATTTAAAAAAATAAATAAAAATAAAAATTGCAAAATCTAAAAATTCTGAAGCTGTAAAATCGAAAAACGGAAAAAACAAAAAAAAAGAAAAATGTAACATTAAAAGGTCAAAAATTTCAAGAATTAAAAACGAAATTCGAGGAACCGAAAAATCCAAACATCAAAGTCTGAAATTCAAAAATTTAAAAAATGAGAATACAAAAATCGAAGAACGAAAAATCAAAAACTCAAAACTCGAGAAATCGAAAAATTAAGACAATAAAAATTCGAAAAATCAAACATCGAAAATTGAGAAGTAGAAGCAAAACATTGAACATTGGAAAAAACGAAAAATTGAGAAATTGAAAAACTAAAAAATCGGAAAAACGAAAAGTTGGAAAATCGCAAAACTAAAAAAATTTAAAATGAAAAAATGCAAATCGAAAAACGGAAATTGAAAAACAAAAAATTATAAAACCGAAATAAAAAAAATAAATAAATAAATAAAAATTGCAAAATCTAGAAATTGAAAAATTCCAAAGTTGGAAAATCGAATAACTGAAAAATTTAAACTTGAAAACTCGAAATACTGCAAATTAGAAAACTGAAAAATAAAACATCAAAAAATCCAAAATTCGAAGAATTAAAAAGTCGAAATGTCGAAAAATCGAAAAATCAAAACTTTCCAAAGAACGAAAAATCGAGAAATCGAAAAACTGAAAAATCGGAAAATTCAAAAGTTGGACAATCGCAAAACTGAAAAAATTTAAAATGAAAAAATGCAAATCGTAAAATTGAAATTGAAAAACAAAAAATTATAAAGTCGAAATAATTATAAAAAAATAAATAAAAATTGTAAAATATAAAAATTGAAAAATTCCAAAGTTGGAAAATCGAAAAAATGAAAAATTTAAACTTGAAAAATTAAAAATCGAAAAACTGAATAAACAAAAAAATACAAAATGAAACATCAAAAAGTCGAAAATTTGAAGAATTAAAAAATCGAAAAGTCTTAAGAACTAAATAAAAATGGAAAATCAAGAAACCGAAAAACTGAAAACTAAAAAAATCGGGAATTCAATTTAGAAATCGAAAAATCGAAACATCAGAAACTCAAAAGTTGGAAAATCTGCAAAAGTGTTTAAAACGAAAAAATGGAAATTTAAAAAACAAAAAATTATAAAATCGAAATGATAAAAAAAAAAATAAAATAAAAATTGTAAAGTTGGAACATCGAAAAACTGAAAAATTTAAACTTGAAAACTAGAAAAATTACAAGTCGAAAAACTAGAAAATAAAAACATCGAGACTTCAAGCAATCTAGAAATAGGAGCATCAAAGAATAAAAAATTCGAAAAATCGAAAAATCAAGACAACAAAAATTCGAAAAATCAAACATCAAAATTGAGAAATCGAAAAACTAAAAAACTGGAGAATTCAGAATTTGGAAAATCGCAAAACTGACAAATTTAAAAATGAAAAAATGCAAATCCAAAAAATGAAATTGAAGAAAAAAAAATTATAAAATCGATATATTTAAAAAAATAAATAAAAATGAAAATTGCAAAATCTAAAAATTCTGAAGCTGTAAAATCGAAAAACGAAAAAAAAAATGAAAAATGTGACATTAAAAAGTCAAAAATTTCAAGAATTAAAAACGAAATTCGAGGAACCGAAAAATCGAAACATCAAAAAGTCTGAAATTCAAAAATTTAAAAAATGAGAATAGAAAAATCGAAGAACGAAAAATCAAAAACTCAAAACTCGAGAAATCGAAAAATCAAGACAATAAAAATTCGAAAAATCAAACATCGAAAATTGAGAAGTAGAAGCAAAACATTGAACATTGGAAAAACGAAAAATTGAGAAATTGAAAAACTAAAAAATCGGAAAAATGAAAAGTTGGAAAATCGCAAAACTGAAAAAATTTAAAATGAAAAAATGCAAATCGAAAAACGGAAATTGAAAAACAAAAAATTATAAAACCGAAATAAAAAAAAATAAATAAAAATTGCAAAATCTAGAAATTGAAAAATTCCAAAGTTGGAAAATCGAATAACTGAAAAATTTAAACTTGAAAACTCGAAATATTGCAAATTAGAAAACTGAAAAATAAAACATCAAAAAATCCAAAATTCGAAGAATTAAAAAGTCGAAATGTCGAAAAATCGAAAAATCAAAACTTTCGAAAGAACGAAAAATCGAGAAATCGAAAAACTGAAAAATAGGAAAATTCAAAAGTTGGACAATCGCAAAACTGAAAAAATTTAAAATGAAAAACTGCAAATCGAAAAATTGAAATAAAAAAAAAAATAAATAAAAATTGTAAAATATAAAAATTGAAAAATTCCAAAGTTGGAAAATCGAAAAATGAAAAATTTAAACTTGAAAAATTAAAAATCGAAAAACTGAATAAACAAAAAAATACAAAATGAAACATCAAAAAGTCGAAAATTTGCAGAATTAAAAAATCGAAAAGTCTTAAGAACTAAATAAAAATGGAAAATCAAGAAACCGAAAAACTGAAAAATAAAAAAATCGGGAATTCAATTTAGAAATCGAAAAATCGAAAAATCGAAACATCAGAAACTGAAAAGTTGGAAAATCTGCAAAAGTGTTTAAAACGAAAAAATGGAAATTTAAAAAACAAAAAATTATAAAATCGAAATGATACAAAAAAAATAAAATAAAAATTGTAAAGTTGGAACATCGAAAAACTGAAAAATTTAAACTTGAAAACTAGAAAAATTACAAATCGAAAAACTAGAAAATAAAAACATCGAGACTTCAAGCAATCTAGAAATAGGAGCATCAAAGAATAAAAAATTCGAAAAATCGAAAAATCAAGACAACAAAAATTCGAAAAATCAAACATCAAAATTGAGAAATCGAAAAACTAAAAAACTGGAGAATTCAGAATTTGGAAAATCGCAAAACTGACAAATTTAAAAATGAAAAAATGCAAATCCAAAAAATGAAATTGAAGAAAAAAAAATTATAAAATCGATATATTTAAAAAAATAAATAAAAATAAAAATTGCAAAATCTAAAAATTCTGAAGCTGTAAAATCGAAAAACGAAAAAAAAAAATAAAAAATGTAACATTAAAAAGTCAACAATTTCAAGAATTAAAAACGAAATTCGAGGAACCGAAAAATCCAAACATCAAAAAGTCTGAAATTCAAAAATTTAAAAAATGAGAATAGAAAAATCGAAGAACGAAAAATCAAAAACTCAAAACTCGAGAAATCGAAAATTCAAGACAATAAAAATTCGAAAAATCAAACATCGAAAATTGAGAAGTAGAAGCAAAACATTGAACATTGGAAAAACGAAAAATTGAGAAATTGAAAAACTAAAAAATCGGAAAAATGAAAAGTTGGAAAATCGCAAAACTGAAAAAATTTAAAATGAAAAAATGCAAATCGAAAAACGGAAATTGAAAAACAAAAAATTATAAAACCGAAAAAAAAATAAAAAATAAAAATTGCAAAATCTAGAAATTGAAAAATTCCAAGGTTGGAAAATCGAATAACTGAAAAATTTAAACTTGAAAACTCGCAATATTGCAAATTAGAAAACTGAAAAATAAAACATCAAAAAATCCAAAATTCGAAGAATTAAAAAGTCGAAATGTCGAAAAATCGAAAAATCAAAACTTTCGAAAGAACGAAAAATAGAGAAATCGAAAAACTGAAAAATCGGAAAATTCAAAAGTTGGAAAATCGCAAAACTGAAAAAATTTAAAATGAAAAAATGCAAATCGAAAAATTGAAATTGAAAAACAAAAAATTATAAAGTCGAAATAATTATAAAAAAAAATAAACAAAAATTGTAAAATATAAAAATTGAAAAATTCCAAAGTTGGAAAATCGAAAAAATGAAAAATTTAAACTTGAAAAATTAAAAATCGAAAAACTGAATAAACAAAAAAATACAAAATGAAACATCAAAAAGTCGAAAATTTGAAGAATTAAAAAATCGCAAAGTCTTAAGAACTAAATAAAAATGGAAAATCAAGAAACCGAAAAACTGAAAAATAAAAAAATCGGGAATTCAATTTAGAAATCGAAAAATCGAAACATCAGAAACTCAAAAGTTGGAAAATCTTCAGTGTTTAAAACGAAAAAATGGAAATTGAAAAAACAAAAAATTATAAAATCGAAATGATAAAAAAAATAAAATAAAAATTGTAAAGTTGGAACATCGAAAAACTGAAAAATTTAAACTTGAAAACTAGAAAAATTACAAATCGAAAAACTAGAAAATAAAAAAATCGAGAATTCAAGCAATCTAGAAATCGAATAATCGAAACATCAAAAGTTAAAAAATTCACTGGGTTACTACGATTCCAACAATATTCTTAGCTTAAGACGTTTTGCTAGTATAAAACACAAATAAAGAATTAATTCTTAGTTAAACAAAATATGTAAAATCATCTAAATATGTACCAAAAATATTCACTTAGTCGTTATAAAAACCAACCAAATTGCTTCTGAACGCTTAGAGTCGACAATGGCCTGAGCGCGCTCTGGTCTGTGGATCAAACAAGTTCTCAGGCGACGAGTTGTAGTGAAACAAGCATGGACTATTTAAATTTGGCGGTTGAGGACTCCAATGACAATAAGAGTGGATTTGTAAAATCAGCCTGTATGTGGCATCTATATTAATCTATCATATTAATAATAAGGATACAAAGTGTGTTCAGTGTCAATGTACATAACTTTCCCTCCAGAGTACCCATCGACTGGCAGCTGCGCCGTCACACAAAGCGTGTGTGCAATTTGCGTTTTCCCAGTCCCCGCCTCACCAAAAACCTGAGTCACAGCCATAGACTCAACGCCGCCCCCCAGCAAATTACTGAAAACAAAAAATAATTACTACACCTACTTCAAGAATTTTAACACAACTTACTCAAAATTCGTGCTTCCCGTGGGGATTTTGAACACTTGTTGTCGCTCCTCGCTCACTTCCAGGGCCGTCATAAACCTACTGGTCACGGAAATCCGGTGGGCCGCTTCTTGGATTGTCACAACTTTATCAGCATCGAAAGCCCCAAGCTTGAGGAGGTTGGCGCTCGTGGTCATCTGCAACCCTTTGACTGTATTAATTCCAGCAGCTCGCATTTTTTCGATGTCTGCGACGCTAATTCCTTGCTCCGCTAGAAGGTAGATGTCTTGGAAGAAGCACTCCTCGTCTTCGTCTTCCGCTTCAAGTGTCACTCTTTCAGTGGCCTGAACCTTATTATTCGTCGCGGTTTCCGCGTTCTGCATCACTTGAGACATTTTTGTTGTAATTTAAACCGAATTTGGGTTTTTAGAAATGAGAAATTTAAGTGAGAAAGACGCGGTTTTCGCAATGTCAACAAAGTAGGGGTGCCAACATCACCAACAAAATCACCAGAGAAAAGCACTACCATAGATTAATATAGATGCGACGTACAGGCTGATTTTGCAAAACCACTCTTATTGACATTGGAGTCGTCAAGCGCCAAATTTAAATAGTCGATGCCACTAAAAAAATTTGATTCACTACAACTCGTCGCCTGAGAACTTGTTTGATCTACTCTAAGCGTTCAGAAGCATTTTTCGATTTTTCCGTTTTTATTTTTCGACTTTTCGATTTTTTAACTCTTGGAATTTTCGACTTTTTGATGTTTAATTTTTTTTGTTTCTTCAGTTTTTCGATTTGTAATTTTTCTAGTTTTCAAGTTTAAATTTTTCAGTTTTTCGATTTTCCAACTTTACGATTTTTATTTTATTTTTTTTTATCATTTCGATTTTATAATTTTTGTTTTTTCAATTTCCATTTTTTCATTTTAAACACTTTTGCGATTTTCCAACTTTTGTGTTTTCCGATTTTTCTATTCTCATTTTTAAAATTTTCAAATTTTAGATTTTCTGATGTTTCGATTTTCCGATTTCTAAATTGCTTGAATTCCCGATTTTTTTATTTTTCAGTTTTTCGGTTTCTTGATTGTCCATTTTTATTTAGACTTTTCGATTTCTTAATTCTTCAAATTTTCGACTTTTTGATGTTTCATTTTTTATTTTTTTGTTTATTCACTTTTTTGATTTTTAATTTTTCAAGTTTAAATTTTTCATTTTTTCAATTTTCCAAGTTTGGAATTTTTCAATTTTTATATTTTGCAATTTTTATTTATTATTTTTTTTTATTATTATTTCAACTTTATAATTTTTTGATTTTCAATTTCAATTTTTCGATTTGCATTTTTTCATTTTAAATTTTTTCTATTTCTCGAGTTTTTGATTTTTAGATTTTTCGACATTTCGACTTTTTAATTCTTCGAATTTTCGATTTTATGTTTTTTTTTTTCAGTTTTCTAATTTGCAATATTTCGAGTTTTCAAGATTCAATTTTTCAGTTATTCGATTTTCCAACTTTGGAATTTGTCAATTTTTAGATTTTGCAATTTTTATTTATTTTCGAATTTTTATTGTCTTGATTTTTCTATTTCTCGAGTTTTGAGTTTTTGATTTTTCGTTCTTCGATTTTTCCATTCTCATTTTTAAAATTTTTGAATTTCAGACTTTTTGAAGTTTCGATTTTTCGGTTCTAGAATTTCGTTTTTTCGAGTTCTCGAGTTTTTGCTTTTTCGATTTTCCTATTTTTAGATATTTTGACTTTTCGATTTTTTAATTCTTGAAATTTTTTACTTTTTAATGTTACATTTTTCATTTTTTTTTGTTTTTCTGTTTTTCGATTTTCCGACTTCAGAATTTTTAGATTTTGCAATTTTTATTCATTTTTTTAAATCTATCGATTTTATAAATTCTTTTCTTCAATTCATTTTATGGATTTGCATTTTTTCATTTTTAAATTTTTCAGTTTTGCGATTTTCCAAATTCTGAATTTTCCAATTTTTTAGTTTTTCGATTTCTCAAATTTTATGTTTGATTTTTCGCATTTTTGTTGTCTTGATTTTTCGATTTTTCGAATTTTTGATTCTTTGATGTTCCGATTTCTAGATTGCTTGAAGTCTCGATGTTTTTATTTTTCAGTTTTTCGATTTCTTGATTTTCGATTTTTTAATTCTTCGAATTTTCGACTTTTTGATATTTGATTTTTCATTTTTGTTTGTTTCTTGAGTTTTTCGATTTGTAATTTTTAGAGTTTTCGATTTTGCAATTTTTATTTGTATTTTATTTATTATTTCGATTTAATAATTTTTTGTTTTTTTAATTCCAATTTTTCGATTTGAACTTTTTTATTTTAAAATTTTTCCATCTTTCGATTTTCCAACTTTTGAATTTTCAGATTTTTCAGTTTTTCGATTTCTCAATTTTCGATGTTTCGAATATTCGATTTCTAGATTGCTTGAATTCTCGATTTTTTTATTTTTCAGTTTTTTGATTTCCTGATTTTCTGTTTTTCCATTTTTGGGGATCTTTCGACTTTTCGATTTTTTAATTCTTCAAATTTTCGACTTTTTAATGTTCCATTTTTATTTATTTTTGTTTCTTCAGTTTTTCGAATTGCAATTTTTCGAGTTTTCGAGTTTAAATTTTTCAGTTTTTCGATTTTCCAACTTTGGAATGAAAATGTTTTGGAAACACTGTGTTCTATTTTGTATGGATTTTTAAATGTTTTTAGTGACAATTTTTGTATGATATTAACAGTGAGAAAAAAAATGAAAATTAAAAATAATCGAAAATTCGAAAAATCGAGAAATCTAATAATAGAAAAACCGAAACCTTAAAAAATCGTAAAACCGAAACATTGAAAAATCGAAATATCGAAGAACTGAAAATCGAAAAAATGTAAAATTCAAAAATCCAAAATTTAAAAACCGAATAACGAAAAATCGAGAAAGTCAAAAATAGAAAAGCCGAAGAATTGAAATATTGATAAATCCTAAAACTGAAATATCTAAAAACTGAAAAATCGAAAAATCAAAAAAGTGAAGTCGAAAAATTGAAAAATCAAAAATCTGAAAAATCAAAAAATTAAAGAATTGAAGAACAGGAAAATCGAATCACTCGAAGGTCAAGAGATGGGAAAATCAAAACATTGATTAATTGAAAAATAAAAAAATTGCGAGTTTATAAAAGTCAAATTTGAAAAATTAAAAAATCGAAAATTTGACAAAATGACAATTGAAAAACAGAAAATCTTAAACCGGGAAGTCGAAAAATCAAAAGATTAAGAAATCGAAACACTTGAAAAATTCGGAAACTTGAAAAATTAAACTATCGAAGAACTGAAATGAAAAATCGAGAAATCGAAAAATCTAAAATTTTAAATATCAAAAAACTGAAAAATCTAAAATTTAAAAATCGAAGAATTGAAAAAACGACAATTGAAAAACAAAATCTAAAACCGGGAAGTCGAAAAATCGAAAGATTAAGAAATCGAAACATTTGAAAAATTGAAAAATGGAAGAGCTGAAATGAAAAATCGAGAAATCGAAAAATCAAAAATTTTAAATATTGAAAAATTAAAATACCAAAAAATGGATAAATCTAAAATTTAAAAATCGAAAAAGTAAAAAGTCGACACATCGAAAAATCCAGAAGTCAAAAATGGAAAAGTTGAAGAACAAATATTGAAAAATCCCAAAACTGAAATGTCGAAAAACTGAAAAATGAATGAAAAACTGACGAATCGAAAAAATGAAAAATCCCAAAACTGAAATAACCGAAAATTGAGAATCCAAAGAATCGAAAACTTGAAAAATCGAAAAATCAAAAAAGTGAAGTCGAAATATCGAAACCTTAAAAAAATGGAAAAATTGAACAATCAAAAAGCTGGAAAATCGTAAGATCGAAAAGTTGAATAACAAGTAAACTGACAAATCCCAAAACTGAAATGCCCAAAAAGTGAGAAATTAAAAAATTGAAAAATTGAAAAACCAAAAAACCTGAAAAATCAATTAATTGAAAAATCGACAAATAAAGAGTTTATAAAAGTCAAAAATTGAAAAATCGAAATATTTAAAAATCGTAAAATTGAAGAGAAAAACTGAAAACCGAGAAATTGAAAAATTGAGAAACTGTAAAATCCAAAAATTGAAAAATAAATAGGAGTAAACAGAAAAATCCCCAAACTAAAATTTCGAAAAACTGAGAATTCGAAATTTGAACCAGTAGAAATTATGGTCGAAACCGGTTAGGATGTGTATCAAATCACGGATCATCGCTTATAAATCAAATCGTTTCCGAACGCTTAGAGTCGACATTGGCCTGAGCGCGCTGTGGTCTGTAGATCAAACGAGTTCTCAGACGACGAACTGTAATTCGTGTGACCTGAATTAAAGTGAAGGAAACAGTATGCAGCTTGTAATATTCTAAATCTAATGACATTTTTCTAGTTAACTTTATTCCTAGTTAGAAACAAACACTGTTGCCAACATAAGTCGAGGAGTCTTCAACACTGTGCTTCAACCAACACCCTCTAAACAGTTTAGAGGGTGTTGCTTCAACCGTCATTTAATTTAAACGATGACGCTTCTCTATGTCCTCTGTCACAATCAATTTTTGTAAAATAAAATAACGTAAAAAAATAAAACATAAGAGAAAAACACAGTTAAAACTGTACTGTTGTAATAATAATAATAATAATAAGTAACAAAAACAATTTTAAAGTCACGTTAGTCACTCGGGTTGTTATTTCTTTAGAAATTTTTCTTGTTTCGTTCGTGGGTTGGCAGCCCGTGACACTCCAATTTGAGGTTAATCCACATCCGAAAATGAAAAATCATCGACATTACACAATTTAGTCCGATTGTAACGAAAATAGAATGGCAGCGGCGAGCAGCGTGTCGGTTTTGGCCCCCAACGGCCGCCGCCAGACCGTCCGATGCACAGGAAACACGACCGTATTGCAGGTGAGCCCCCCGATTTGCTCAGCCGCCACTGACTCCCGTTTCGCAGATAATCGAAGAAGTGTGTCGCAAACAGGGTTTGCAGCCCGAAGACTATGATATTAAACACCACAACAAAGTCCTTGACACAACACTCTCTTTTCGTTTCTCAGGGCTGCCAAACAACGCTCAACTGGAACTAACCGCGGCTAAAAGGGCCCGGGTTGACTCAGAAGTAATTTTAGCAGTAAGTCTGGACGATGGAAATCGCCTCGTCGGACAATTTCTCCCTGATGAATCTCTCTGGGATATATTATTGACGTTGTGTCCCAATGAAGTCGTTGTCAAGCAAAATCCGGTGGTTGTTTACATGAGGAACGAAGTGTACGGGGAGGAGAAGCTCCAGAACACCACTCTGAGGAGTCTGGGGTTAAGAGGGGGGCGCGCTGTTGTACGATTGATTCATAAAAGTCCAGAACAATTGAGCATGCAAGCTGGGGTTTCTGCTCCTCTGACGGCTAAACCAGCGGAGCCCCAACGATACACCGTCGAGACGGACCAAAATAACCCCCCTCACGTTATACAGAAAAAACAGGAGTTGGATTTCGTACAATTGTTAGCAAGGGAAAGAGAAAAACGCAAATTGGAGAGTCCTTCGAAAGCGGTGGAGCCAGAAGTGCAGTCACCACGAACCAAACCCAAAATCGAATCCACGGATGAATCTATGGAAGTGGAAGTGCAAACCTCTAACAATGAAAAAACTGTAAAACCGGCGAAGAAGGTGCAAGTGGCGAAAGTCTACGACCACGAAGAGAATTTCGTTTTTGTATGAAAGTGTGACGTTTATTTTTGTGATTGACATGGTTTGGTTTTAGCTGGGGGACCGCCAGGCCATGCTTTTCTCGTTGGAGTCTGCGCGGTCGCTGCCCGCTGAAGACCTTCCGGATGATTTCTTCGAACTCACTATAGACGACGCCAAGAAAATTTTGCACGATATCAAGCGGAAAAGGCATGAAATGGAGAACGCGAATCTGATGACGGCGGCCATGAGGACTTTGGAAGAATCGAAAAAGCAGCTGAGGCAGTTACACAAATATAAACAATCGGTGATTAGGGTACAATTTCCGGATAGGACGATTCTGCAGGGTAGTTTTAAACCAAGAGAAACCATCCAAGATGTTAAAAATTTCGTTAAGAATTATCTAGAGGAGGAAAATCTAGATTTCCATCTTTGTAAGTGGGATTGTTGTAAAGTATTGTAATTATTTAAGTTTTGCAGATACAACCCCTCCCAAGTCAATCTTGAACGAACAAGACTGTCTTCTGGAGATTGGGTGTGTACCAGGGGCTCTTCTGCACTTGTCGAGCAACGCGGAAAAAACAGTGTCTTTAAAATCCGAACTCAAGGACAAATTTACGACGAATTCGATGGCCAGTTTGGCCGCTTCCAAGCTCCGGAAAGAGACAACAAGAGTCGAGGAGGAGCCCGAAGGGGGCGAAGACGACTCCATGGAGATTTCAAGTGATACAAATGTGCCAGGTCCAAGTTCTCAACCCACCAGTTACGAAAGAAAGGTTATCAAGTCTACAGAGAAAGTACCAAAGTGGTTTAAACCCTCAAAATAATTGTTAAGTTTACACTCGCATTTTTACTTTATATACATCAGTTAGCTTTAATTCAGGTTGTATTAAATAAAATTGAAGCAACGATTGTGGGATTTTTTTGTGAAAACCAAAGATATTGAAGAGAGGTACCTTTAAACCTCCTTGGTGAAAACAATCTGTAATCTCCATTTATTGGCTTAAATTTTTTTTTCAATTAGTATATCTAAACACATTTTCTTGTAGATTTCGAACTCTAGAGCTCAATTCCAGCATCGGTTTTTTGATAACTGCAACAGTTTTTCCAGAATCGACCGCTGAAATACCGAAATTTTTTAAATTTTCAAAAATTCGCATCTAGTAACGAATTTTTCGAAAATGTTGCTTCGTGACCATCAACATGCTATATTTTTGGAATCAGCGCGTCGAGATCTACGTCCCTGAATTTTTTCATTATTTTTAGGCAACTTTCTAAAAACTGAAATTTTTTAATGGTCCCCCCTTCTTCAAATTTCGCTAAAATTTTGACATTTTAGAAACTTAACTAAACACATTTTCTTGTAGATTTCTAGCTCTAGAGCTCATTTCCAGCATCGGTTTTTTGATAACTGCAACAGTTTTTCCAGAATCGACCGCTGAAATACCGAAATTTTTTAAATTTTAAAAAATTCGCATCTAGTACCGAATTTTTCGAAAATGTTGCTTCGTGACCATCAACATGGTATATTTTTGGAATCAGTGCGTCGAGATCTACGTCCCTGAATTTTTTCATAATTTTTAGGCAACTTTCTAAAAACTGAAATTTTTTAATGGTCCCCCCTTCTTCAAATTGCGCTAAAATTTTGACATTTTCGAAACTTAATTAAAGATATTTTCTTGTAGATTTCTAGCTCTAGAGCTCATTTCCAGCATCGGTTTTTTGATAACTGCAACAGTTTTTCCAGAATCGACCGCTGAAATACCGAAATTTTTTAAATTTTCAAAAATTCGCATCTAGTAACGAATTTTTCGAAAATGTTGCTTCGTGACCATCAACATGCTATATTTTTGGAATCAGCGCGTCGAGATCTACGTCCCTGAATTTTTTCATTATTTTTAGGCTACTTTTTAAAAACTGAAATTTTTTAATGGTCCCCCCTTCTTCAAATTTCGCTAAAATTTTGACATTTTCGAAACTTAACTAAACACATTTTCTTGTAGATTTTGAGCTCTGGAGCTCAATTCCAGCATCGGTTTTTTGATAACTGCAACAGTTTTTCCAGAATCGACCGCTGAAATACCGAAATTTTTTAAATTTTCAAAAATTCGCATCTAGTAACGAATTTTTCGAAAATGTTGCTTCGTGACCATCAACATGCTATATTTTTGGAATCAGCGCGTCGAGATCTACGTCCCTGAATTTTTTCATTATTTTTAGGCTACTTTTTAAAAACTGAAATTTTTTAATGGTCCCCCCTTCTTCAAATTTCGCTAAAATTTTGACATTTTCGAAACTTAACTAAACACATTTTCTTGTAGATTTTGAGCTCTGGAGCTCAATTCCAGCATCGGTTTTTTGATAACTGCAACAGTTTTTCCAGAATCCACCGCTGAAATACCGAAATTTTTTAAATTTTCAAAAATTCGCATCTAGTAACGAATTTTTCGAAAATGTTGCTTCGTGACCATCAACATGCTATATTTTTGGAATCAGCGCGTCGAGATCTACGTCCCTGAATTTTTTCATTATTTTTAGGCTACTTTTTAAAAACTGAAATTTTTTAATGGTCCCCCCTTCTTCAAATTTCGCTAAAATTTTGACATTTTCGAAACTTAACTAAACACATTTTCTTGTAGATTTTGAGCTCTGGAGCTCAATTCCAGCATCGGTTTTTTGATAACTGCAACAGTTTTTCCAGAATCGACCGCTGAAATACCGAAATTTTTTAAATTTTCAAAAATTCGCATCTAGTAACGAATTTTTCGAAAATGTTGCTTCGTGACCATCAACATGCTATATTTTTGGAATCAGCGCGTCGAGATCTACGTCCCTGAATTTTTTCATTATTTTTAGGCTACTTTTTAAAAACTGAAATTTTTTAATGGTCCCCCCTTCTTCAAATTTCGCTAAAATTTTGACATTTTCGAAACTTAACTAAACACATTTTCTTGTAGATTTTGAGCTCTGGAGCTCAATTCCAGCATCGGTTTTTTGATAACTGCAACAGTTTTTCCAGAATCGACCGCTGAAATACCGAAATTTTTTAAATTTTCAAAAATTCGCATCTAGTAACGAATTTTTCGAAAATGTTGCTTCGTGACCATCAACATGCTATATTTTTGGAATCAGCGCGTCGAGATCTACGTCCCTGAATTTTTTCATTATTTTTAGGCTACTTTTTAAAAACTGAAATTTTTTAATGGTCCCCCCTTCTTCAAATTTCGCTAAAATTTTGACATTTTCGAAACTTAACTAAACACATTTTCTTGTAGATTTTGAGCTCTGGAGCTCAATTCCAGCATCGGTTTTTTGATAACTGCAACAGTTTTTCCAGAATCGACCGCTGAAATACCGAAATTTTTTAAATTTTCAAAAATTCGCATCTAGTAACGAATTTTTCGAAAATGTTGCTTCGTGACCATCAACATGCTATATTTTTGGAATCAGCGCGTCGAGATCTACGTCCCTGAATTTTTTCATTATTTTTAGGCTACTTTTTAAAAACTGAAATTTTTTAATGGTCCCCCCTTCTTCAAATTTCGCTAAAATTTTGACATTTTCGAAACTTAACTAAACACATTTTCTTGTAGATTTTGAGCTCTGGAGCTCAATTCCAGCATCGGTTTTTTGACAACTGCAACAGTTTTTCCAGAATCGACCGCTGAAATACCGAAATTTTTTAAATTTTCAAAAATTCGCATCTAGTAACGAATTTTTCGAAAATGTTGCTTCGTGACCATCAACATGCTATATTTTTGGAATCAGCGCGTCGAGATCTACGTCCCTGAATTTTTTCATTATTTTTAGGCTACTTTTTAAAAACTGAAATTTTTTAATGGTCCCCCCTTCTTCAAATTTCGCTAAAATTTTGACATTTTCGAAACTTAACTAAACACATTTTCTTGTAGATTTTGAGCTCTGGAGCTCAATTCCAGCATCGGTTTTTTGATAACTGCAACAGTTTTTCCAGAATCGACCGCTGAAATACCGAAATTTTTTAAATTTTCAAAAATTCGCATCTAGTAACGAATTTTTCGAAAATGTTGCTTCGTGACCATCAACATGCTATATTTTTGGAATCAGCGCGTCGAGATCTACGTCCCTGAATTTTTTCATTATTTTTAGGCTACTTTTTAAAAACTGAAATTTTTTAATGGTCCCCCCTTCTTCAAATTTCGCTAAAATTTTGACATTTTCGAAACTTAACTAAACACATTTTCTTGTAGATTTTGAGCTCTGGAGCTCAATTCCAGCATCGGTTTTTTGATAACTGCAACAGTTTTTCCAGAATCGACCGCTGAAATACCGAAATTTTTTAAATTTTCAAAAATTCGCATCTAGTAACGAATTTTTCGAAAATGTTGCTTCGTGACCATCAACATGCTATATTTTTGGAATCAGCGCGTCGAGATCTACGTCCCTGAATTTTTTCATTATTTTTAGGCTACTTTTTAAAAACTGAAATTTTTTAATGGTCCCCCCTTCTTCAAATTTCGCTAAAATTTTAACATTTTCGAGACTTAACTAAACACATTTTCTTGTAGATTTCTAGCTCTAGAGCTCATTTCCAGCATCGGTTTTTTGATAACTGCAACAGTTTTTCCAGAATCGACCGCTGAAATACCGAATTTTTTTAAATTTTCAAAAATTTACATCTATTACCGAATTTTTCGAAAATGTTGCTTCGTGACCATCAACATGCTATATTTTTATAATCAGCGCGTCGAGATCTACGTCCTTGAATGTTTTCATAATTTTTAGGCAACTTCTTAAAAATTGAAATTTTTTAATGGTCCCCCCCTTCTTCAAATTTCGCTAAAATTTTGAAATTTTCGAAACTTAACGAAACACATTTTCTTGTAAATTTCTAGCTCTAGAGCTCATTTCCAGCATCGGTTTTTTGATAACTGCAACAGTTTTTCCAGAATCGACCGCTGAAATACCGAAATTTTTTAAATTTTCAAAAATTCGCATCTAGTAACGAATTTTTCGAAAATGTTGCTTCGTGACCATCAACATGCTATATTTTTGGAATCAGCGCGTCGAGATCTACGTCCCTGAATTTTTTCATTATTTTTAGGCTACTTTTTAAAAACTGAAATTTTTTAATGGTCCCCCCTTCTTCAAATTTCGCTAAAATTTTGACATTTTCGAAACTTAACTAAACACATTTTCTTGTAGATTTTGAGCTCTGGAGCTCAATTCCAGCATCGGTTTTTTGATAACTGCAACAGTTTTTCCAGAATCCACCGCTGAAATACCGAAATTTTTTAAATTTTCAAAAATTCGCATCTAGTAACGAATTTTTCGAAAATGTTGCTTCGTGACCATCAACATGCTATATTTTTGGAATCAGCGCGTCGAGATCTACGTCCCTGAATTTTTTCATTATTTTTAGGCTACTTTTTAAAAACTGAAATTTTTTAATGGTCCCCCCTTCTTCAAATTTCGCTAAAATTTTGACATTTTCGAAACTTAACTAAACACATTTTCTTGTAGATTTTGAGCTCTGGAGCTCAATTCCAGCATCGGTTTTTTGATAACTGCAACAGTTTTTCCAGAATCGACCGCTGAAATACCGAAATTTTTTAAATTTTCAAAAATTCGCATCTAGTAACGAATTTTTCGAAAATGTTGCTTCGTGACCATCAACATGCTATATTTTTGGAATCAGCGCGTCGAGATCTACGTCCCTGAATTTTTTCATTATTTTTAGGCTACTTTTTAAAAACTGAAATTTTTTAATGGTCCCCCCTTCTTCAAATTTCGCTAAAATTTTGACATTTTCGAAACTTAACTAAACACATTTTCTTGTAGATTTTGAGCTCTGGAGCTCAATTCCAGCATCGGTTTTTTGATAACTGCAACAGTTTTTCCAGAATCGACCGCTGAAATACCGAAATTTTTTA